CTATCAATCTCTATTCCAAAGGTTAGGGCGTTTCTTATCTCCATTCCAGGGAGTAAAGATTATGTAGCTTAAGCATGATTGTTCGTAGTTAAAGTGATTAATTACCCGCCTGGCAGTTAAGGGGTTTTATCCCCTCCCTAACTTCAGGGGGAAATCCCTACCTGGGGAAACAACCTTTCTCAGAGAGGTGACCTTGGTTAAAACACATAGTGCCAAGAATGTGAGCAAATATATTAAGAACAGTATGCCATATATGCCAGGTCCCTTGAAGCAGCAAGGATGGACCGGCTCCTGGCAACCCTTTATCACATAATGAGATCAGTGGCCTTGGAAGTTTAATTATCTGTAGTGCCTTGAAGGAAAGGTCCCTGTTGAGTGTTTAAGGATTTGTGAATTGAATGGGCACCAATGATCACAAATCTCCTGCCCTGCCTTTTCCCCTTCTTGCTTGTATCCTGTTCCATCAGTGCTTCTTAGGCCTGCTGTGGTACACTCCTGTTTGCAGGGCATATGAGGGTGAATGGAAATAGCATGTGGTGTCATGGGCTCTGAGGGACTAGCAACTCTGACTCTTCTTTCCCAGGCTCATCCCATGGGATTGGGAATCGCTCTTTTACAATTGATATTCTGACTTCATGGAATTAGATGGATTTCTTCACTACATTACATGTAGGAAGTAGTTTAAGTGGAATTGCTTAACACAAAGGTATTACAGTATGGCATAAGAAAACAAGAAGTAGGAAAAATATGACATCCACTTTTACAAAATTCACAAACCAACAAAACTACATATGTTGTCAGATTACATATATATTGGTAAAATAGAGGAAATCAAGACAATTGCAAACAAAATTCATGATTAGTGGTTATTTCTGGCATCAGGGACAGTGAGATTGGATTGGGGAGTCCATACAGAGAACTTAAAAAATAGTGGTTATGTTTCATTTCATAAATTGGATGTTGGAGTATAGGGGTTTATTATTAATATGCTTTATAATCTACACATATATTTTTCCTTTGATAGTATCATGTTTTATAACAAAAAGAAATTAACAAGCAAAGAATGTTTAGAAATAAAATCTTAATGCAATTCTCATTCTTGCCCCTAATTGTATTGTTATTTTAAAATTACAAAAATATAACAGTATTAAGAAAAAGTCAGGGGGAGGGAACATCTGTAATACCATTTTTCTTACATAGTAATTACTTTTCTTTTTCTTCCGATATGAATGTTTATGTACTTAGTTATAATCACTATGTATGTCATGATATATGTTTATATTACACGGTGGATGGTGATCTCTATAGCCATTAGTTTTAATGGCTGAATAATATTGTCATGAATGGTTAGCATAACAGTGTACTAACCATTCCTCTATGGTGGAATATTTAAGTTATTTCAACTTTTCTGCTGTTACAGAACATATTCAAGGCTTTTACATTCATTCCACAAATAATTTATCTATGTGTAAGGCATTCTGCTAGCTGCTAGAATTTACAGTGTAAGGCATTCTGCTAGCTGCTAGAATTTACAGTGCTAAGCAAAAAGAGCCATACACTCTGTCCTTGGGAATTTAGAATCTAATGACTAATGCTTCTTGATTGTATTTTGCATTTTAACCACATAACCCTTAGACTTAAAACAAACACACAAAATTTTGAGCAAATTGTAGATTTACATTTATTTGTGAGAAACAATATAGAGATCCCATATACCCTTCACCATTTTTCCCCAGTGGTAACAACATCTTGCATAATTATAACTCCAGAACCAGGAATTTGACATTGATACAATCCACCAGCCTTATTCAGATTCACCAGTTTCTCATGTATTCATTGGTATGTGTACACAGGTGCTTCTGTGCACTTTTATCCCGTGTGTAGATTTGTGTGACACCACCACAGTCAGGGTACAGAACAGGGTCATCACAGGATTCCTCATGCTCCCTGCCACCCTCCCTAGCCCCTGGCCACCTCGCATCTGTTCTCTTCCTCTGTAATTTTGTCATTTATTATGATTATGTGTAAAAGGAAATGAGTAAGACTTTTCCCACACTCTGGGAATCTTTGTGGAATCCAAAGTGAGCCTCTAATGAATATGATGTTTCTCAAAATATGTTAATTTGTCTATATATCTAAAATCTTCTTTTGTTCCTATAACAAGTGAGCATATATCCTGATGCCATCTTTATTATTCTTTAGAACTTACAAGGGCAAAACTAGTTTTCCGTTGAGTTATCTGTCTCTTGAGGAATGAGGACCTGTCAGAGCCTCATACAGAGAGGTTGCTCCATAGACATTTGTTCAACAAATGCCCTTGATCCAGAGAGCTGACTGAGGGCATTTGGAAAGGATGGAACACACAGAGGATGAGTAAGGGACAGTTGGACTTTAAACCTAATGTCCTGGTCTTATTACTTAGCTCCAAATATTAAATAAATCTCATTTTAAAAGTTTCTTTCAAAACCAAGAAAAACCAAATAGTAATGCCAGCCAATTAGACCTGCTGTGTTTAGAAAGAAAATGGCATCTCAGGGCAAAGCATTCTGAAGAGGGAAATAACTGTTCAGTGCACCAGCTTCGAACTTCAAAAGAGCAATATTCTCCCTACCTGCCACCCCCCCCCCCCACACACACACACACATACATCTGAGCTGCTGCTGCTGCTGCTGCAGGGATCCTGGTTCTGTACCTGGTTTCTGAAATCTCCTGAGTCTAAAACAGAAAGCACAATGGGCTGTATGGCAGAATGTGTTTTGAGGTAACTTAGTGACCTATTTGATTACTTGTATGTTTGTGATTTAGGTGTTTAGATTTTTATTGTTTTTATTTCTTTTGAATGAACAGCATAGTCCTCATTTTCCAAGGAAGGCATGAAGTCCAGGACCCACAAAGGCTGAGCAAGCACTGTGCTGTGTGGGTGTGGTTAACCTTGACCCAGTGATGGCTGGCCTGAACCTGCCTGGAGAGTGTACCAAGGGGGTGTCTTCTGGGCCTTCTGATGATGAACCAATAGTTGGGGCTCCGGAAAACAAACCCATTATCCCAGTTTGCTCTCTTTTGCTTTTTACTTCTGTTTTTATCCCATTTCTTTGAACATAAAGTCTGAATCTTTAATTGTCTGAAATCCAGGCCCCATGTGGTCTAGTCCAGCGGTCGCCAACCTTTTGGACCTCATGTACCCACCGGTTGGCGACCGCTGGTCTAGTCCATGTCTACCTTTCTGAGATTCACCTGATGCCCTTCTCCCTCTGCGGCCCCCCTCTAAGGTCACCTTCCAGGTCTTTCTAAGGCTTCATGTTGCTGCCCATGGTGTGTGCTGTTTATTCTACCTAGAACACCATTTGCCCTTCTTCTTTCCACCGGCATTTGTCAGATACTGCTGTGCACTAGGCAGAGCTTGGCTTCAACACAGCTTCCTCATGAAAGCCTTCCCTGACCCATCAGACAAGGTCTTGAGCCTCTTCCATGAGCACTCATGGTACCCTGTACTTTCCTTCGCTCCCCTCCTCCCCATTTCTGATGGTGTTTATTGATTCTTGGTTTGCTGGTATCAGTACCCCTAGCCCCACCCCTCCCAAATCCTGGTGAAGATAATGACTCTCCAGTTCCTGCTTCAGTGTCTGGAACATAATAGTTGCTCAGTAAATATTTGTTGAATTAATGGATTAACTCAGAGAAATGACCACTCCCTAAAATGTCCTTAGGTTTAACATGGAATTTCTGGAATTAGTACCTGTTTTTAAAGGTCTAGGTATATAGTCCTATAAAATTATTGAACTGTCCTTGAGTCTGTGACTTTAATTTGTTTTATTTTTCTTTCAGGTGGGGACCAGGGTTTACTGAACATGTTTTTTAGCAGCTGGGCAACAACAGATATCAGAAAACACCTGCCATTTATTTATAACCTAAGCAGCATTTCTATATACTCCTACCTCCCAGCATTTAAAGCGTAAGTGGAAACTGTTTACTGTTGTTGGGGATGGTGAGGGAAGGGGAGTAGATTTAAGATTTTGGGGTGCATTGTCAGTCTGAGGGCAATAACAGGTGGGAAACTTTGAAGGAAGTCTTTTTCTTGAAAGAAGCATGGCTTGATGATATCGATCCCTATGCCTTTCTGCTTAGAATAACCTTCAGGGCATTTAGCTGCCTATGGGGAAAGGACCCCATCAGTTCCCGGGTTGCCTGGACCTCTGATAAACTATCTGTATGTCATGATCAGGAACAGATTGGGTGCAGACCCAACTTCTGCCTCAGGCTAGCTGCTTAGTTTCTGGTTCCTCATTTGTACATGAGGGTCTTAACAGCTCCCTCCATGTGGTGCTGGGAATTAAGCAAGATGCTAATAGCAGTGTGGTGTCATGGCCAAGAGAGGGGGCTGTGGAGCTAGACTCCCTAAGTTCACATCCTGGAGTAGCCACTTCCTGGATGATTGATGGTCACTGAACTTTTGTGGTTCAACAGAAGTTGGACTTCTCTGCCTTTGTGTCCACAAGAGGGTACTGTGAGCAGTATGAGAGGTAGTCATGTAAAGTTGGAGGAACAGGCCTGACCTGCCTGAGCACTCAGTAAGCGTTAGATGGTTAGTCCTTTCTGTTTGAGAGATGGACTAGCATAAGTAATAATCTCTGAAACCAGGAAGGTGGGTGTGTGGCTTACTCTGCCCTTACCTGCTGTCTGGCTTAGGCTCTGTGCCTCAGTTCCCCGTATGCAAAACAAGGAGAAAAATAACGTTTACCTCAAAGGGTTGTCATGAGGATAAAGTGAATTCAGTCATGTAAAGTACTCAGTGGAGGCCATTGTTTTTGGCAACGTGCTTGTTTGGCACTATCCCTGGTGCTTTTCTAATTCAGCAACCAGTGTAGCCAAGTTGCAACACTTGTCTCACTGTGAGTGCCTGGGTCCCATCCTTCAGCCTCTGACTCATTGTGTTGAACCAGAAAGATGACTCAAGTTTCCTGAGTAGAGGCCAAGCTTTCAGGTTGATCCTGAAACATAGCCGTGAGCAGCCGAGCTCCCAATGAACTGC